ATGAGGGCAATAACGGAACCAGTAATGTAGCACTGCATCATTGACATCTTCTAGCCAGAGACCATAGAGCATGGAAGGTCTGTTGCATGCCCTCTGCCTAGCCCCGCTGCTTTTATACAGTGCATGAATGCATGTGTGGGTGTGATATCTGCTTGTTTGAAGACGGGACGAGGGGGGGTCTACGAAAACACCCCATCCCACACAGTGGTTCACACTTGAAAGGTTTCAATTCAGCTTGTTTCTGCAAACATTATTTGATTCATGTGTGGGTGTGATATCTGCTTGTTTGAAGACGGGACTGGGGGGTCTACGAATATACCCCATCCCACACAGTGGTTCACACTTGAATTCAGCCTTGGCAGAAAGGTTAATAGTATCAGGGCAGGGAGGGATCTACTCAAATACTCCAACTTACACAGGGTCCATACATGAAAGAGGTTGTGTGGGTGGCAGTCTGGGCTTGAGAGAGAGTATTAAATAGCAGTTCTTGTTATCTGGCCTCTCTCAAACTGAAGCAGGATGTACACAGGGACAGGTATCTATGGCAGTGTAATCTGCGGTTTTCGGCTACTGCTGGGTCATGAAGTTAAAAATTACTAACTACTCCCGAGACTGAGAAATGTGACTCCACTTAGAGCTCTAGGCAGCTATATGCAACACCCTAGTTCTGTACACAGCTAACAACAATCTTGAGCAAACATGTGTTTCTGCAAACATTATTTTATTCAGTCTCCCAAGGCTTAGCAGCAATACACTGAACTTAATTTTTCCCATCAAAACCAGAATTTCCAAACCGTTTGAAGGACCACGGCACACCAGAGTGTTGATTCTGTTGCACATGCCCTGCTGCCTATACCTTCTGTAGCTCTTCCATAGACAGTGCACAGTTGTGATGCATTTGCCTGGATAATAGTTTGAACAAGTAAATAAAAAAATTCTGCAAATTAAAAAAGTGTGGAATATATGGATGCCATAAAAAGCAAGGAGACAAGACAGGGATGACCTAGTGCATTAGTACAATGGATGATGGTTACATCTTCAAACTGACAGTTCTTGCTCGTGTACATTTTACTCCACACAATTGTCGCCACTCTTACTCATGACATGAGTTTTGAATGATGTAGTGTGAAGACTGGCAAACGAATTCTGTAGAGAAAGCAGCATTGTAAAACTGGTTAGTTGAACGAACATTGAAGTAAATACAGTCACGATTCAAAACTGAGGACCTGTCAGAGAGGGCATTTGCTATATACCAGTCTTACATGCATAGGAAACGAGTCATAACTTTGCTTAAACAAAGAGGGATGGTATCATGTAGCTTTGTGCAACTTTGCTGTGTAATGAATGATCCCTTGTTTCCTCCTTTTTGGTGCTTCAAGCCATCCCCATATCCCCCTTCATTTTGAAGAAATGATTTTTCCATTTGTTTCCACAGCTTATCACAACACTGCATTTATTGCTACAGTCACTATGATGTTCATGGGTATGTTGTAGATAGGCTACCATAGACAAACTGTAACTGTTGAAAACAGTAGCTAATGGGCAGCTAGTGCCTGAAGCAGGGGGCTAGATACTGCATTCACCTCATGTCATTTCTTGCACATGGTTGTGTTTTCATTGGCAGGCTTTGGTAATCAGGCTACAACCTGGGGGGACAAACAATGAAGGCCCATTTCCAGCTCACCACAAGATTCTCTCAGGCTCGTGCAGGAATGTAGAGCTATGGAGGGTAAGCTCTCCTGTCAGGGCTCTACCGATGCCATGCTCAGTGCCCAGTCAACTCTAAGAGAATTAAAGCGAGAAGTATTACAGGCAGACTGGGAGGCCTCCACCACCGAGGCCAGCCGTCACAACAGTACAGCGATTGCATCAGGAATAGCTGCTGATACATCTTGGATGAAGCTGTGGGACATGGCACTTGATTACGGACCTCGTGGTACTGACTCTCTACAGGCCCTTTATCGCGAATTGACCAGGCCACAGTTTCAGCCAGGCATCTGCCATCTCTGTGGTGCCACAATGGATGTTTCTTACTTTCATCACTATACTCTCTCTCACACGCCTCTCTCAGACCCAGACCAGATTATCAACTCTCTTTCGTCCGCTACTTCTGATATTTTCATGTATGCTAGACATTACAAGTAACTTTATTTTTTGTAAAACATGCCGTGCCTATTCTTGTTTGGCTTGCAGTGCATTAAAACCTTTGAACCTTTGAACCTTTGATGCTGCGTTAGCACGTTGTTCGGTGTCGACCATGGATGAGAGCTCCATGATCTACCGTAGTGACTTGCGGCAAGAAAGAAACGATCTCTTGATGTCCGTGCACACCTCCGGCGAAATTTAAGACGTTCGGTGAAAAAATCAGCGCTCGAACTGGTACTGGTAAGGAGATAGCGGGTTAGAAGAAGAAGAAGATGAATGATGACACGAACATCGTGAAATCGCGTATATACGCGTATGAGCGGCTTCTCGCGTGGACGACTGATGGTGCGTATGAGGTCTTTGGGAGCATATTAGGTAGATATGGGCCCGTAGACTATGTGTTTTGAAGGCCTAGGGAGTCATTCTCACCGAGTTTTGTACGCGGATCACGTGAGATTTCACGCAGTGCCGCCATCCCTATTATAATTATAGAGCGTCTACCGACGCTTTAATTGTGTAGCTATACGCTCTGGAGGCCTGTCCGATTATACATAATGTCCGATCTTTGATGAGCTACTCTATAGTTTTTAACAGCTGGTTTTAGCTAAGTAGCTTTTTGTTAGATCTAGTGGCAAGGGGCAGTGGATGGTAAAGATTTTACCCAGTCACTAACTGCATCTGCAGCTACACCAGTTAGCTGAGTGCGAATTTTGAATAAAACACTTAACCCTTTAGACGCCATGGATGTGTCCTTCAATAAGCATAAATTGATGTGTGAAGTATTAGCACCTAGTATTATGACCCCATATTATTTCTTCTGGACTTATGGAGGCTCTGGACACATTTATGTGCCCACGACTGGTTAAGTGTTAAGGTACCAAAGGATCAAACAACCCACCTGCTGGATGCCTTCTGTTGAGGCTCATGTGGAGCTACCACCAGGAGCATGCAGCGCTCATAGTCTCCTGGAGGCACCCATGAAGAAACAGTAAACACCTTGTGTTCATGCACTTATTCGTAGAGTATAATTATATGCACAAATTGTATCAAACAACATAGTTAAAACTAAAACAATATACACACTGCATCTGAGGCACAGTGAATGAGAAAGTGACTTGAATTATTTATTATAAAACAGGGGTTCTCTTAATGAGTGGCTTGGTTTCATCTTCCACGTCCCTGTAGCGAGTGTTCATGCTGGCAGTGACACTGAGAGAGCTGTTGCCTTCAGACTGGAGGCTCTTGTTGTGGGCGGATGGCGAGACACGGACCATCCTCTGCACAGGCCGGGGCCACATCTGGAGGGAGGGGGAGGAGGGAGGGGGGAGGAATAGGTTAAAACAAGGGGATTAAGGTGTGGGAGGTGAAAAAGGTAAGAAGAGGGTGAGGCAAGGGGGTGGCTTTTGAAATGTGAATAGAGAAAGGAAGGGTAGCTACTGAAAAGAACTCAGGCATGGTTTTGTTTGGTGTGTAACACGGCCATTATAAGCCAGGCACTCTTTCTACAGTTCTAACCTTTTTAGATACATGTTACACAATGACTTAACCTATAAACAAACTCATGCAGTCCATAATCAAACTCAACCAAAGAAAACCACAGGCATAGGAAGAGCTGTAGCTCCCTTGAACATAATACGTGTAGGACTGCACTGTCGCCACCAATTGGGTACACACACTGCAGTGGCATAATATTGTTAATTGAAAAGAACTGACGAGTACCATAATAACAGAACATACTTTTGTTGGCCAGCAGAGAATGCAGCAAAACTTAATATCACCATGAACGCAGGTGTGAATTTAGCAATCATTCTTTTGACACCAGAAACAATCAGCTACAGTAGAAAACTGGGTTAGCTATAGAGCACACAAAATAGTAGTTTAATTCTGTGTGCTATCAAATGCGAGAGACATTTCACCGTTACGAATGTGAATAGAGAAAGGAAGGGTAGCTACTGAAATAGGGTATATATCTCCTATATTATACTGAAATGGGGTATCTCCTTAGGGCTACTGAAATAGGGTAGCTATCTCCTTAAATAAGCAGACATTGATGTATAACATAAGCACTGATTTTTGGTGTATTTTCAGGCATCACTAGGTGTGTTCTCCAGAGGAGGTTGTACTCATGGACCCCCTCTCTCACATAATGTGCAGTCATCTACCCTCTCTCCTCGCAATGCTGTATCAGTATAATTATACACATGAATTGATGTTGTAGTCCAACTTCAAACAACCCGGTGCTACGCTGTATTCTGAGCTGTGGGCTGCGGGCTATGGGCGGTAATTCATGCCATTATTTCAGCGGAACATACTCCGGTTAACGGAGAGCGGTTGTATCTATATACCGGTTAACGGTTTTAACGAGAGCGGTTGTAACGTTGAAAAAACATCGTTAATGCTCTAACGTTGAAAGTCGCCCCTGCCGCGCATGCGCAAAGTTTCTCCCACGTCCACGTGTGTATATTCTGTCTGACCTGCAGCTAGCTAGCTCCTGGAGGGAAGACATTGCGTCTGGACGAGCTAACCATGACCTTTGAACTCCCGGCTACGGCTTGAAAGATTTTCCAACGGTTTATGACGTTAGAATTTTTTTTCGATAAACGAGAAAAAGTCGATTAATGTTTTGCGGTAACCGAAAATTACTTGTTAAAAATAATGGCATGAATCACCCCCCATAGCGGGCTGCACAGGTATCAGTATTGGACAGGAAGTCCTTATCACAACATCTAGCGCTAGGCGTAGTGCAAATTGTCTGGCTTCCAAAGTTTACACAACAGTCATTAGTCATTAGTGCAACATGACACAGCATAAATTCAGCATTGTGATTGGCTAGTTGGACTACAAATCAGTTAACGTCAGGCGTCTTGGCGCGTACAGGAAATCCTCCTCGGCTGTTAACTATACCGCGCCTCGGGCTACGCCCTCGTCCGGTATAGTCAACAGCCTCGGAGTATCTCCTGTACCGCCTCGCCGCCTATACGTTAACTAATACATACCCGATGCTCTCCCTCTGGATCTGCTCGGTCCACAATTTTTTATGACCACCTCACTTTTAAACAGACAGCTGCAGCCAGCTAACAGTGACCTGAACACAATGATAAAGTGCAAAACCCTCGGCGAGCTGCGCGTGCGTGATAGTCTACCGCTAATTAATTGTTGGGCTGGGCTATTTACTCGCGGTTTCCCGCTGGTAGCTCGTGGAGAGTCTGGCTACAGTAGTAGATAGCATGCGGGAGTCGATACACGCCCTCCGTTGTGACTTCTTGTGCCTCCAAGGTATATACACAGTACAAGCGGACCCTTGTCGAGGTAGGCCGGTGCTAATTTGCATATTGGCTTGTTCACTTGGTTTTCACGCCATAACTTCTGAACGCGGCACTTTTATGATAATCGCCCCATTGAAAATAAAGCCAGTGTAGCGCTGAACCCGTTGGTGTCGCTATTTTACCCGTTTGTCGCGCGTGGTGGAAGAAAACGTGGACGGACGGACAGACGGACAGATAACCCTCGCTGCGCATGCGCGCCGAGGGTTAGTGGGAAAATCATTTCAGTGAGAGCACACTCAGCAGGTATTGTTATGGAGTCAGTATTATAGGCTAAATGAACTCACTAAGCATTGCTTACTGCAGCTACAAAAAATAAATATATGGTACTTCTGTCACTGACATCATGCTGTCTCTGTGTGCATCAGCAAAATACACACATACATTTTGGCCCAGCGAATGTGTGTACAAGTGAGCGGAAGATCTTCAAACTTTCAACAACAGAGATCGTTCAAAAGGATTGCTAGGTTGCATATGTATATGCCTCTTTTTTTTTAATTCGCAGAATTTTTAGTTTACTTGTAGTATCAGGGCAGGGAGGGATCTACCCAAATACCCAACTTACACAGGGTCCATACATGAAAGAGGTTGTGTGGGTGGCTGTGTGGGCTTGAGAGAGAGTATTAAATTGCAGTTCTTGTTATCTGGCCTCTCTCAAACTGAAGCAGGATGTACACAGGGACAGGTATCTATGGCAGTGTAATCTGCGGTTTTTGGCTACTGCTGGGTCATGAAGTTAAAAATCACTAACTATTCCCAGACTGAGAAATGTGTCCCACTTGCAAAAAGAATGAGGGCAATAACGGAACCAGCAATGTAGCACTGCATCATTGACATCTTCTAGCCAAAGAAGATAGAGCATGGAAGGTCTGTTGCATGCCCTCTGCCTAGCCCCGCTGCTTTTATACAGTGCATGAATGCATGTGTGGGTGTGATATCTGCTTGTTTGAAGACGGGACTGGGGGGTCTACGAAAATACCCCATCCCACACAGTGGTTCACACTTGAAAGGTTTCAATTCAGCTTGTTTCTGCAAACATTATTTGATTCATGTGTGGGTGTGATATCTGCTTGTTTGAAGACGGGACTGGGGGGGTCTACGAATATACCCCATCCCACACAGTGGTTCACACTTGAAAGGTTTAAATTCAGCATTGGCATAAAGGTTAATAGTATCAGGGCAGGGAGGGATCTACTCAAATACTCCAACTTACACAGGGTCCATACATGAAAGAGGTTGTGTGGGTGGCTGTGTGGGCTTGAGAGAGAGTATTAAATTGCAGTTCTTGTTATCTGGCCTCTCTCAAACTGAAGCAGGATGTACACAGGGACAGGTATCTATGGCAGTGTAATCTGCGGTTTTTGGCTACTGCTGAGTCATGAAGTTAAGAATCACTAACTACTCCCAGACTGAGAAATGTGTCCCACTGCAAAAAGAATAAGGGCAATAACGGAACCAGTAATGTAGCACTGCATCATTGACATCTTCTAGCCAAAGAAGATAGAGCATGGAAGGTCTGTTGCATGCCCTCTGCCTAGCCCCGCTGCTTTTATACAGTGCATGAATGCATGTGTGGGTGTGATATCTGCTTGTTTGAAGACGGGGACTGGGGGGGTCTACGAAAATACCCCATCCCACACAGTGGTTCACACTTGAAAGGTTTCAATTCAGCTTGTTTCTGCAAACATTATTTGATTCATGTGTGGGTGTGATATCTGCTTGTTTGAAGACGGGACTGGGGGGTCTACGAATATACCCCATCCCACACAGTGGTTCACACTTGAAAGGTTTAAATTCAGCATTGGCATAAAGGTTAATAGTATCAGGGCAGGGAGGGATCTACTCAAATACTCCAACTTACACATGGTCCATACATGAAAGAGGTTGTGTGGGTGGCTGTGTGGGCTTGAGAGAGAGTATTAAATTGCAGTTCTTGTTATCTGGCCTCTCTCAAACTGAAGCAGGATGTACACAGGGACAGGTATCTATGGCAGTGTAATCTGCGGTTTTTGGCTACTGCTGAGTCATGAAGTTAAGAATCACTAACTACTCCCAGACTGAGAAATGTGTCCCACTGCAAAAAGAATAAGGGCAATAACGGAACCAGTAATGTAGCACTGCATCATTGACATCTTCTAGCCAAAGAAGATAGAGCATGGAAGGTCTGTTGCATGCCCTCTGCCTAGCCCCGCTGCTTTTATACAGTGCATGAATGCATGTGTGGGCGTGATATCTGCTTGTTTGAAGACGGGACTGGGGGGGTCTACGAAAATACCCCATCCCACACAGTGGTTCACACTTGAAAGGTTTCAATTCAGCTTGTTTCTGCAAACATTATTTGATTCATGTGTGGGTGTGATATCTGCTTGTTTGAAGACGGGACTGGGGGGGTCTACGAATATACCCCATCCCACACAGTGGTTCACACTTGAAAGGTTTAAATTCAGCATTGGCATAAAGGTTAATAGTATCAGGGCAGGGAGGGATCTACTCAAATACTCCAACTTACACAGGGTCCATACATGAAAGAGGTTGTGTGGGTGGCTGTGTGGGCTTGAGAGAGAGTATTAAATAGCAGTTCTTGTTATCTGGCCTCTCTCAAACTGAAGCAGGATGTACACAGGGACAGGTATCTATGGCAGTGTAATCTGCGGTTTTCGGCTACTGCTGGGTCATGAAGTTAAAACCACTTGCAAAAAGAATGAGGGCAATAACGCAACCAGTAATGTAGCACTGCATCATTGACATCTTCTAGCCAAAGAAGATAGAGCATGGAAGGTCTGTTGCATGCCCTCTGCCTAGCCCCGCTGCTTTTATACAGTGCATGAATGCATGTGTGGGTGTGATATCTGCTTGTTTGAAGACGGGACTGGGGGGGTCTACGAAAATACCCCATCCCACACAGTGGTTCACACTTGAAATGTTTCAATTCAGCTTGTTTCTGCAAACATTATTTGATTCATGTGTGAGTGTGATATCTGCTTGTTTGAAGAGGGACTGTGGGGTCTACGAATATACCCCATCCCACACAGTGGTTCACACTTGAAAGGTTTCAATTCAGCTTTGGCATAAAGGTTAATAGTATCAGGGCAGGGAGGGATCTACCCAAATACTCCAACTTACACAGGGCCCATACATGAAAGAGGTTGTGTGGGTGGCTGTGTGGGCTTGAGAGAGAGAGTATTAAATTGCAGTTCTTGTTATCTGGCCTATCTCAAACTGAAGCAGGATGTATATACATAGGGACAGGTATCTATGGCAGTGTAATCTGCGGTTTTCGGCTACTGCTGGGTCATGAAGTTAAAAATCACTAACTACTCCCAGACTGAGAAATGTGTCTCCACTTAGAGCTCTAGGCAGCTATATGCAACACCCTAGTTCTGTACATAGCTAACAACAATCTTGAGCAAACATGTGTTTCTGCAAACATTATTTTATTCAGTCTCCCAAGGCTTATAGCAGCAATACACTGAACTTAATTTTTCCCATCAAAACCAGAATTTCCAAACCGTTTGAAGGACCACGGCACACCAGAGTGTTGATTCTGTTGCACATGCCCTGCTGCCTATACCTTCTGTAGCTCTTCCATAGACAGTGCACAGTTGTGATGCATTTGCCTGGATAATAGTTTGAACAAGTAAATTAAAAAATTCTGCAAATTAAAAAAGTGTGGAATATATGGATGCCATAAAAAGCAAGGAGACAAGACAGGGGTGACCTAGTGCATTAGTACAATGGATGATGGTTACATCTTCAAACTGACAGTTCTTGCTCGTGTAAATTTTACTCCACACAATTGTCGCCACTCTTACTCATGACATGAGTTTTGTGTGAAGACTGGCAGAGAAAGCAGCATTGTAAAACTGGTTAGTTGAGCGAACATTGAAGTAAATACAGTCACGATTCAAAACTGTGGACCTGTCAGAGAGGGAATTTGCTATATACTAGTCTTACATGCATAGGAAACGAGTCATAACATTGCTTATAAACAATAAAACAAAGATATAGGGATGGTATCATGTATATAGCTTTGTGCAACTTTGCTGTGCAATGACCCCTTGTTTCTTCCTTTTTGGTGCTTCAAGCCATCCCCATATCCCCCTTCATTTTGAAGAAATGATTTTTCCTTCCACAGCTTATCACAACACTGCATATATTGCTACAGTCACTCTGATGTTCATGGGTATGTTGTAGATAGGCTACCATAGACAAACTGCAACTGTTGAAAACAGTAGCTAATGGGCGGCTAGTGCCTGAAGCAGGGGGCTAGATACCGCATTCAACTCATGTCATTTCTTGCACATGGTTGTATTTTCATTGGCAGGCTTTGGTAATCAGGCTACAACCTGGGGCGACAAACAATGAAGGCCCATTTGGACGCCCCGCAAGACTCGCGTAACACTGCGCAGACTCTGCCAAGTTTCTCCTCGTGCAAATCAACAGCAAGCTAGCCAGTTGGAATGTGCATACTTACTTACAGAAGGCACTGGAGGCTGAGAGTTCCTGTGCAGGTCTATCAACTCGCCTTACGCGCATTGACAACGCCCCCTGCCTAGCGCCTAGCGCATGCGCGCGGCTCACTGATGCTGCGTTAGCAGCAAATGGCGTTGTTCGGTGTCGACCATGGAAGAGCTCCATGATCTACCGTAGTGACTTGGGGCAAGAAAGAGACGATCTCTTGGTGTCCGTGCACACCTCCGGCGAAATTTAATAAGCTAGGATGGCTCGTGGAGTGCTCTCGCTAGCCAAAAATGCCCTGCATTCGCCATGCTCTTACATACCTACCAACCATCCAGATTTTCCTTGATAATCAAGCAAAAATACTGCCTATCCTACAATAAAATCCCCAAAATCCCCGTTTGTTATGCTAACATGTGATGGATCATGACCATACATTTTGATTAGACCCACAGCATCCAAATCTCTCAAGCAAAGCTTTATCTGCAGGTTGGTAGGTATGCTCTTAGGCTCAGCTCGGAAGTCGGCACGTCCCCCAACGCCGCGCGCCATCCAGAGATGCATGACCACGCGTGTTTCTATCGTGGCCACTGCGCAAATTACCATTACATAAACTGATGGTTCATGAATATTCATCATAATACTGCAAGCGCCCTGGCCTAGCTAACTAAGCGCTCTAAGGCGCAACAAAGGGGGGCGGAGGCCGGAAGTTAGTATATTCATGAGAGTACATGTGGATCACGGGTGTTTCGAATCGGCCACTGAGACGTTAACTTTTTCCTGTGCGCGCACATACATATACGGTATCTAATTAATTATTCATAAGTCTCCGTCCGGTTTAAGCCGGTTTCCCAGCGATCGTTTCCACCACTTCCTTCCAGGAGATCCACTAACGGAAGTAGTTACTGGCACATTCCTTACTATACTAAACAATACAGTGGTGTGCGCAGAGCCACAACGCGTCCTTCGCAACTGAGCAGCTGCTTATCTTACCACCATACCGCAAAAGGAGTACAAAGAACCGCATAGTTTGGACAGTCACACTGAAGCCCTGTAAGTTTTCCTGCGCAGTATATACTACACTAGAAACGGCTTGCATAAGAGTAAAACAGTTGTGAAAACAAAACCGTTTAGTGGCGCCACTCCAAATAGCAGGGGAAAAGCCAGTACAAAATATGTACATAATACACAAGAAACAGCTCGATCTCCACTGTCGTGTCGGTTGATGTGTTTGCTAGCCGAGGGTTTGCACTTGTGCTTTTCATTTTTATGCTGCCAACATAATCAATAGTATATACCTATACACCAAAGATAATCGTGTTCATAATTATATAGCAAACAGGCTGCTCTCTAGTCACAGAGCACATGGACAAATGCATGCTGTCGTGAGTTCCCACTAGCATTACTATAGAATCTGATGCCTCTTCCAAGGGTATTCTCGTTTGTTGCCAGTAGTAGAACACCATAGTTGGGATCTCCACTTTGCCAGTTGCGCAATGCTTCAGTGATGTCAAATTCAACGAAACCTGCAGGCCTGAGACAACAAAAACATTGAGGTGATACAAATTGCCTCACAGTAATGAAAGAGTTTGTGTACCTGCTGGTGTAGATAGTAACAGGATAACACAGAAGGCCATTGGGATCAGCATCACTACCATCCAGAGCGAGCCATGGCTGATTCCATCGCTGACCAGAGACACGAAAGGTTGAGGTAGCTTCAGATTCAGACCAGTTCTGCCTCACCTGCATTAACAGAAGCTCAATGTATTTTGTAAAGCGTAGGTTTTTACAATACCTGATGTACTTGCAGTGGTCGAGAAATGTATGGTACTTGTGTCACCGACAGAAAGCTTGGTTTGTGTGCATATGCGAAATACACATACATTTTGGCCCAGTGAACGTGTGTACAATTGGACGGAAGATCTTCAAACTGTAACAGAGATCGTTTAAGAGGATAGTAAGGGTGAGTACCAACAATAAGGTACTGAAGGTAATTGTAGTTCCTAGATCCCCTTTCAAGGCACACATCCTATAGAGAAGGAGACATACTCATTTATCACATAGCTATATACAAGTTGCTTGGTAATTACCTGAGTAACTTGCAAACTAAAAATATCCCCTGCTCCCGAATCAAATTGAGCTTTAATCCCACTTGTCAAAAGAATGAGGCCAATAATGGAACCAGCAATGTAGCACTGCATCATTGAGCCAAAGACGATAGAGCAATAAAGGTCTGTTGCATACCCTCTGTCTAGGTCTGGTGCTTTTATACAGTGCATGAATGCATGTGTGGGTGCCATATCTAAATGTTGGAAGACAGGACAGAGGAATGTACTAAAATAAACCATCCCACACAATGGTTCACACTTGAAAGGGGTTGTGTGGGTTTTAACTCAGCTATCAGGGCAGGGGGATCTAGCAATATAAATCATCCCACAGTGGTCACGCTTGTAATTCGGCCTTGGTTTTAAAGGCTAGTAGTATATCAGGGCAGGGGGATCTAGCAATATAAACCATCCCACATCAGTGGTCACGCTTGTAATTCAGCCTTGGTTTAGTTTTTCAAATAATATGTGGTTGTCATGGAATGATATCATACGCATTCGTACCAAGTTTCATCTCCACGAGTGCTACCGTTAGCAAGTTTGAGGAGTGAAGAGTGCCTGAAGCTATTTGATGTTGTTCAAACAATGTGGTCGTCATGGAAACATGAAGTTGTCATGGAAATGATGTAACACGCATGCATACCAAGTTTCATCTCCATGCGTGCCACCATTACCAAGTTTGAGGAGAAGTGCCTGAAGCTATTGAACAATATGTAGTCGTCATAGAGTTGTCATGGGAATGATGTAATACGCATGTGTATATACCAAGTTTCACCTCCATGCGTGCTACAGTTAGCAAGTCTGAGGAGTGAAGAAGTAGTTTTAAGCAAGATTACCTGAGGCTTTTTCAAACAATATGCGGTTGTCATGGAAACATGTAATCGTCATGAAAGTGATATAATAGGCATACATACCAAGTTTCACCTCCATGCGTGCTACATTAGCAAGTTTGAGTGAAGAAGAAAAGTGCCTGAGGCTATTTGTTGTTGTGGTCGTCATGGAAATGATGTAATACACATGTGCACCAAGTTTCACCTCCATGCGTGATACAGTGAGGAGTGAAGATAGAGAAAATTGCTTGAGGCTTTTCAAACAATATTCGGTTGTCATGGAAACATGTAATTGCCATGGAAATGATATAGTAGGCATACATACCAAGTTTCATCTCTATGCGTGCTACCGTTGGAAAGTTAGAGAAGTGGAGAAGTAAAAAGAAATGTGCCTGAGGCTATTTGTTGTTATTTACAAACATGTACTGTTGTGATTTTGATGTTGGTTATTGAACACATTATGTATACAAACTTTCGTTCACATAGCTCTTACCAATAATTGTAAGTTACACTGACACATGTCATGCAGTACGCCCATTATAATGTAGTGCCCATCATAATGTATTTCCTGGGGCACTTTTGTTGTTGTTTACAGTAAACAACATTGTTTACAAACAAAAAAGTATGATGTTGCACATGTGGTTATCGCTATGTACATTCCTACAAAATTTCATGGCTTTATCTCATTCAGTTTTTGAGTTATACTGGTTGAACAGGAAGAAGAGAACATGATGAACAAAACTCCCTATCATAGCCCCATACATCTATGATGCTAGATGCACATCCCTATATTTTGCGGTATGGTAAGATAACAGCTGCTCAGTTGCGGAGGACGCGTGGTGGCTCTGCGCACATCACTGTATTGTGTAGTATAGTAAGGAATGTGCCAGTAACTACTTCCGTTAGTGGATCTCCTGGAAGGAAGTGGTGGAAACGATCGCTGGGAAACCGGCTTCAACCGGACGGAGACTCATGAATAATTAATTAGATACCGTATATGTGCGCGCACACGAAACATTTAACGTCTCAGTGGCCGATTCGAAACACCCGTGTGGCTTAGACGCTCTAGACGCGAGTGAAATCTCACGTGATCCACGTACAAAACGCCTCAAAACTCAGCGACAATGACTCACCATGGCTTCAAAATCACTAGCAATAGTCTAGAGGCCAATACCTAGCTATACATATACCCCAAGACTTCCTACGTGCCCTCAGTTCCCCACGAGAGAATTCACACTTACGGGATTTCGCGATTTTCGTGTCATCATCAACATATTCTTCTTCTTCTTCTAAGACTTCTTCTTCTTCTTCAGACCCGCTAGCTCCTTACCGGAAGCAGTTGAAGCGTTGATTTTTTTCACAGAACGTCTCCAAATTTGCCGGAGGTGTGTACGCATATCAAGCGATCGCTTGTTTCTTGCCGCAAGTCACTACGGTAGATCGTTGAGCTCTTCCACGGTAGTCACTGGACAACGCCATTTGCTGCTAACTCAGCATCAGTGAGCCGCATGCGCCGAGGAGGGCGTTTCCCCAATTCGGTGCGCGCGCATTACTATCAATGTATGGTCATAATGCAGGACAACCTGTGTCACCCCTATAATTAACCCTCGGCGCGCATGCGCAGCGAGGGTACTGTAGTTGGGTATGTCTGTGTGTGTGTGTGTGTGTGTGTCTGTTACTCTCAATCTCACTTCACGAGTGTCTGTTCGTCTCACAAAGGATACGACCTACTTAACGGGCAATGAAGGTCAGAAAATATGTGGGATTTTCTCTGAAACTGCTCCGTTGCAGAACTAGAACGTGAAAAAGCCAATATGCAAATACACAACGGATGGTGCGGTTAACTACGACATAATCGCTCCGCATGCTCTGCGTACCTCGGAGGCACCAGAAGATGCAACGCAGGGCGTGTATCGCCTCTTGCATCCCATCTAGTAGTGTAGTTAGCCAGCGTCAGACTCTGCGCTAGCTGGCAAGAGACCACGAGTAATAGATAAACTAAACCCAGCCCATCAATTAGTGGTACTGCGCATGCGTTTACTTACGCGTGCGCGTCACAATACGCCGAGGGTTTGCACTTCAGTGCTTTTCATTGGGTTTGTCTGTGTGTCTGTTACTCTCAATCTCACTTCTCGAATGTCTGTTCGTCTCACAAACGATACCATCTACCCAACGGGCGATGAAGGTCAGAAAATAAAGGCGGTATTCTCTGAAAATGCTCCGTTGCAAAGCTAGAGCGCTTCCAGCATTGTATGGCTAATGCCGGTAGTCGCCATTTTATCGCTGGCGGATAATGCGCATGCGCTTATATTTAGCACAGGCTTACCTCGAGGGGGTCCGCTTGCTCTGTCTATCTTGAAGGCACAAGGAGTCACAACGGATGGCGTGTATCGACTCTCGCGTGCTATCTACTACTGTAGCTAGCCCGTGTCAGACTCTCTGCGAGCTACTTCGCCGAGGGTTTGCACTTTAGTGCTTTTCATTGGGTTTGTTGTCTGTCTGTCTGTCTGTCTGTTTGTCTGTTACTCTCAATCTCACTTCTCGGGTGTCTGTTCGTCCCAGAAACGATACCATCTACCCAACAGGCGACAAAGGTCAGAAAATAAAGGCGGTTTTCTCTTAAAATGCTCCGTTGCAGAGCTAGAGCGCTTCCACCATTGTACGGCTAATGCGTAGTCGGCCATTTTTATCGCTGCGGAAAATGCGCATGCGCTTATATCCTCGACCGGGTCCGCTTACTCTGTGTATCTTGAAGGCACAAGAAGTCACAACGAAGGGCGTGTATCGACTCTCGCATACTATCTACTACTGTAGCTAGCCCGTGTCAGACTCTCTGCGAGTTACTAGCGGGAGACCACGAGTAAACGCATACTAATAGCAGCCCAGCCCATCAATTAGCGGTACCGCGCATCCCCAGTTCGCCGAGAGTTTGCACTTTAGTGCTTTTCATTATACTAAGTACTACCGGACTTATGATAGTGAACCAGGTCTACGAGACTAAGCCAGGATGCCTGCAGAGGAACTCTTATCCTCCAGTGCCTTCTGTAAGTCAGTATACATATTTTTAATTAACTGGCTAGCTTACGTTTTGCTGATGATTTGTATATACGAGGAGCAACTTGGCAGTGTGCGCCGTGTTACGCGGGCCTTGCCCAGCGCCTTCATTGTTTGTCCCCCAGGTTATAGTAGTCTGATTACTGAAGCCTGCCTACGATACCACCCCACCATAATTATGTGCCACAACCTAATCGCATCGCTGTTGGAGACACTACGCATACACCCTACATTAGCTGATGCTTTCAACAGTTATCTCTACAACACCCATAAACATCGATCAGAGTGACTGAAAATGCAGAAAGCTTGAAAAATAGTGGAAACAAGTGGAAAAATCATTTCTTCAAAATGAAGGGGTGATATAGGGATGGCTTGAAGCACCAAAAAGGAAGAAACAAGGGGTCATTACACAGCAAAGATGCACCAAGCTACATGACACCATCCCTATATCTTTGTGTTATAATTATAGCTAGTTCACAAGTAAAGTTTACTATGAGACAAAGATATAGGGATGGTGTCATGTAGCTTGGTGCATCTTTGCTGTGTAATGACCCCTTGTTTCTTCCTTTTTGGTGCTTCAAACCATCCCTATATCACCCCTTCATTTTGAAGAAATGATTTTTCCACTTGTACTAAGTACTAGCTACCCTACTTAGTGATAAACCATCCCACAGTGGTCAAACTTGTAATTCAGTCTTGGTTTGAAGACTAGTATTATTATATCAACCAATATAAACCATCCCACAGTGGTCACACTTGTTCGCTTGAAAGGCTAGTACACATTATTATACAAGTGGAAAAATCATTTCAAATGAAAGTGGATGTAGGGATGTCACATCACGAAAAAAGGGAACAAGAAGATGCCTACACCGAAGTCATTCATAACCCCATCCCTACATCTTTGTCTTTCAATCTTTTGCTGGTCATGGACACATACTATAGATGTATGCTTTAGCCGGAGAGAAACAAACAGGTAATGTAAGGGCGTAAGCGCTGGAGCGGACAGCTTTCTTCAGAGATGGGGTTATTATGTCTCGGTTAAAGGAATGCCACTGATGCAAAAGGATCCAACAATCACCTTATTCTCTTGTGGCTGTGTAGCTGCGGACTCATAGTCTTGTGGAAGCACCCATAAAGACTGCGGTTAATGTCAGATGTCACTAAACAGTAAACACCTTGTGTTCATACTATTCGTATAGTATGCACAAATATTATATCAAACAACATAAGTTACAACAAAAACCAATATACACGCTGCATCTGAGGCATAGTGAATGAGAAAGTGACTTAAATTAATTTATTATGTTATAACAGGGGTTCTCTTAATGAGTGGCTTGGTTTCATCTTCTACGTCCCTGTAGCGAGTGTTCATGCTGGCAGTGACACTGAGAGAGCTGTTGCCTTCAGACTGGAGGCTCTTGTTGTGGGCAGATGGCAAGAGACAGGGACCATTCTCTGCACAGGCCGGGGCCACATCTGGAGGGAGGGGGAGGAGGGAGGGGGAGGGGGGAGGGGAAGGAATAGGTTAAAACAAGGGGATTAAGGTGTGGGAGGTGAAAAAGGGTAATAAGAAAATGGTATGTCAAGAATGCTTTGAAAATGAATAGCTAATGAGGTTCATTTTGGGGTAAGACACCTGCACGCACTGCACTCTTAGTGATAAAATATATACCTGCGGTTAGGTGGCTTACTTATAACTAAGAAACTTCTGTTTATAGTACGCGCAGACTGGGGCGTCCAGAAGCGACGATCACGAGCTGAGACTGCTCAGACCTCGCCCCGACTCTAACAGTTACGACGCTTCTAATAGCAGTGATTCTCTGTCATCGTCGACGAAGTCGTCAACAGTGCCCAGTGCTCAGTGGGGAATCGGGAGGCCTCTCCCCTGCTGGGCTATCGTCGAAAAGTTGAGACGCCGCCGCTAATAGTCAGTACTTTATACCAGCATCGACACAATCGTCAATTGCGCCCAGTATCGGTTTGGGAGAACTCTCCTCCGCGGTGCTTTCCTCAAAGAGCTGCTACCAACCAAGGTTTGAACGCGGACGAGCTACATCCAGCTGTACAGCTATCCATTTTCTTAACAACTAAGACGGTAAATCTTCCTCCACACAAGCCCTATATTGTCGCAAAGCATGACTGTGTTCCCTCATAGAATGTCTCATCTCTTAAGCACGTGATGCACAGGTGTTGCCCTCTCCGACAGCTCCTCAGTTTTTAGTTGTGACTGCATTGTGTGCAGTCTAAGACTTCGGTGTTCGCTCAACGAGTTTTACAATGCTGTGTTCATGGCCCGCCAGAGAATCCCTTTACAGACTGGTCTTAGAGAGAGGGGACTCAACTAAAGAGTGCCGGCTAAATGCACTGTCATTAAAATCTCTTGCTAGCACGAGTGATCTCTATTGTATGATGTGCAGCTATGACTCGTTTTCTTATGCACAAGTGGATCTATGTGTCTCAGTCTCACCATTGTCCTCAAATTCATGTTGTGAGAAAAGTGGCGACAATATAGGGCTAATTTATG